CCGAGCCAAATGAACTTATTTGGTATTTCAACACTTTTCTTTAAGTTGTACCCATATAAAAGCGACCCGGATAGAACAGTGATTCGACTACCGACACAACCGATTTAGAAATTCTAAACTGATAAAGATACAAAAGTGGTCCAAAGACGAATTTCATGCCTACGACAGTAAGACACACTTGAGCAACTTTGTCAAATTCCTTAAAAGACCCATGTGTAAAAATTGGGACGTTGAAGGGGTGGAATGCTACTTTAAGTAGATATGGAGTAAATTATTGAGAGCATCATACACGAATAAATAGCCAGCCTCTGAGGGATTTTGACAATGTACGTTACTTAGGGATGAATTAAAATAAAAAAGAAACAAAGTCACATCTTGAACTCAAGTGTTGATCCTATCAATGGTTAGACGAATTCGCAGAACAATGTGATTAAGATAGTAATGAAAATAAATACATGAATGGTATAGTTACATAACAAGAACTAATTTTTTCATTAGCTCAGTGGCCAAAGAGTTATTCATGCAGTCGATTTCAAAGCATATATTTTATCTGCATGCAGTGAGAATCTGCGCCTGAGCAGTGCCCAAGGCCATTGAATTTAAACAATGATAACGCTGACAAACAGACGTTTCGAGTAAATAACTAGATAGAGCAGACTACACATTGCTACCTTAGCCTACTCAGTGAAATCGAGACAATCTCGCTAACTGCCAATCGGCTTCAATTTATGATGAGCTAACTAACTCGCCACAAAACACCAGTAATTTCTCCTGGATCACATTTTGACTTCTTCAAAATGGGAATTTATTATATAATGCATCACTCAAGTCACCATACTAAGTTGGTTTAAAGGGTCAAATGCACAAAACAGCAGAGCATAGATTACATCACTGAGTCAAGAAAACCTCATTTGATTGTTAGCAGGCAAACCAGAAACAGAGAAGGGTTAGGAAAACATTTAAACAGGAAGGTAATAACGTTGGTTGCAGACCAAAAGAAATCGCCGAGACTCACCTGACTAGCTAACTATAGTAAGAACGAAATTGGATGGGTAAGTTTTGGCATTTCGTCAAGAGGTAAATGAAGGAGGTCATATCACTGTTCTCCACACCTCCGATTCTCACTTAGGTGCGAACGAATAATTCGGTTGATTTATTATCATTCAGTAAAGGTCCTTGAATTTTTGCACGAACAAGGATAGGATAGATTGGGTTCGGATAAATAAACGAACACATCCGCGCACATCTCATATCTTTTACTTCTACTGTACTTGTGGGTTTCGCTAAACCTTGTAAGCTGCTACAACGCAGAGGTGGCAATAGCCTGAACGCTCATTCTTTATGAGGACGACCTCAAAGTATCTTTTCATTAAAGCTGGAAACGTGGATTAAATGATGGGGAAACAAATGACTTAACTGAAAACTACAGACTGACTATAAAGCGGCCTCGGAATGCAAAAAAATAAAGAACAGCGGGGTCAAAAAGATAACGAGTAATTCCGAATTGTTGCTTGAGTCCAACAACATAGATAGGTGGGTCATGCAGAATTAATAGATATTTCAGTTCATTGAACGGGCATTTTAAAACTAAATTTATTACTAAACAGAAATCACTAATCATTTCGAACCATTCAAACATGATGAGATGAGAGACAAGATGAAAAAAGGAAGATGGAGCTGTCAGTCCATAATACTCACATCGCTGATGGCGGCGATCATAATAGGAGAGAAGCCAAATGCATTCTTCTTGTTAGCATCAGCGTATCCCGTATTAAGAATCAGTGAGACAACACGCCAGGCGCCATGACCCACAGCGTAATGAAGACATGTGGAACCCTGTAATAAAGGCTCAGTTAGAAAATGCACTATTGACTAAGAGGTAAAAGCGTCTGTATATTCCACTCTTCATAAAACTTTAGTAAAGGAGATATATATTCTTTTCAAAAAAAAAGAGAATTATTGCCGTAAAAATAAATGAGTCTACAGCGCAACTATTTGCGTAATAAATAAGATCCATTGAGTGTCCTTCTATGATATCGACTTGGATGGCCTCGCCTCATAAGCGAGAAAGATTTGCTTACCCGGGTTGTAGGCATTCGTATGAACAAGTAGAGAAGCTGAGGAGCACTGTTGTAGAGGAAGGCAAACAAATCCTCCATCTGCTCGAGATCAATGTGTGTTTGGCTCACCATATCGAACCAGGATTTGCGCACTGTATCCAAGTGTTCTTGCTTAAGTAAAAAGAACGCATTAGCAATCGTGGAAATCTCATCTCATTTCAATATTAAAGACTTAATATTGACGATATTTGGTACCACCATTTTCCCCAGAAGACTGATAACTGATCCTCAGTATTCACGGGATAATAGCATTCCTACATTTATATGTTTGAATTCACAAGACTTTAGAAACACTTCCACGCTTAGGACTTCAACCCATAAAATTATCCGAAATGGTACCTTACACTATTAAAATAAGGATGCATTCTTGGGAATAAATAACTTTGGAATATGATCCATTCGAATTCACACTCGAAAAATTGCCAGACAAATAAGCTGAAATTTTGCATTCAACAGATCCGATAGGTTTTACATATCAGTATTTACGCAACCTTGTGCTCATTACAAAACACTCGTTCTCTGATTGAATGTAAGATTGGCTACTCTCACCAAATCATCTGTCAGCGCACCGCCAGAAGAGGACAAGTAGAAACTGCTGAGCGCCTCCACTGCCTTTCGCAACTCTGTGGTGACCTTGTATCTGGAAATCAATGGCCAGTACCAATTAATCGGCCAACAAATGCGTAAAAGCAGAAAGGTATACTGAAGGCAAAACAGTTACGTGTAATTTCGAAGAGGAATATTTGGAGAGTTGGCTCGATATACAGTAGTATTTCCTAATCCGGGGCTCATTGTCCTGAAAGAGATAAGTGACTCACATAACCTCACCGAAGGGAGGAGAAAAGGAAAACCACTCATTTCACCTTGCAACTGGTGTTCGGCGGAACTGCTGGTGATGTAGGGTAGACATCGAATCAGAATCTTCTGGAGGTGTAAAGGTTGGTGAACGCCCCACCTCAACAGTTCGAGAGAATGACGGTTGGGGACGTTCCAATGGAAGCAATGGAGAACTTGTAGCCTTGGGCGATGAGCTACGTGGCAGTGGACTCATGCTACGCTTAGGAGATTCTTTATCGAACCAAGTCTCAACCATGACGTTTTCAGACATGTAACGCTTCTGCGAGTCTGGTGTCACGGCTGGATGACTCGACGTCTCCTCCTGAAACTGGAGGGCGAAAAGAGATAGATGTGATTGGTCTAGACTTCAATAATCGCAGATCTTTTGAGGCCAAATGAATGAGGCTTTCGTCCATACGAGTATTTGCGAGCGTAAGTTGTTTAGAAAACCCGAACTTCACGCGCATGAGAGTACGCAGCGAGGGTTGAGTTAGCATAACTACGTTTTTTTGTAAAGTAAACGGACGTCAAAACAACTCGCCAATCCAATTAACAAAAATAACACCCCACAGCATTAAATTCGTTCCTCTCCCAAAAAAACCAGTACCACGTTTTCACATTGAGGAGTAAACAAGGCAGATCGCCTGGGAGGGGACTGACAAAATTAAGCAAAGACAACCTTGATGTAGATGTAAGCAGTGTGAGAAAAGTGGCTACCAAAATTTACAGGCTAGTAAAAAATACAGGAATTCCAAGTACTGTAGTGCTTCTATTCACTAATTCGAACTTAAGAAATTGCATTGACATTTGCTTTCACCTAACAGATGAATAGCAGTTTACAGGTGCTTTCATCTGACCAGACAATATCACCTACCATCGTTTCTTCAAATAAAAGACCTCTATGAATGCGGGTTTCCTATGCACCGAAACTCTAATTGTTATTTAGTCGACAATAACTTGAATCAGATTTAAAGCGATTAAGTAGAATTTTGCGATTTACAATCTATTGCCCATCGACTGAAAGGTTGCAATAGAACGCACTAATAATAGCGACGGTTATAAACTGCGACAGCAATAAAAATATTTAATCTTGTCATTACTAGAAGTTAAGGAAACCATAAATACGGTGCAAAAGATAGCCAATAAAAAGACGACCTTTTTCGAGTCCTTCAGGACAGCACTAAGAGAATCGATGAGCGCGCTTGGCGGAGGCTTTCCCTCACCGCTAGTTTCAAAGGTTTTTGAGGAAACCTTTCCCTCCTTATCTACGTGCCCAGCAATGCGTTTGATCCTATATGTCGTCACCTTCCTGCTAGATGCTTCTGTGGTCGCGGAAGAACGTGGAGTTGAGAGTGATGGTGAGAACGTCCGGGGTTCGGTCAGCGTTGCTTGGCTCCCTGTCTCCACGCGTCTGAAGAAACACTCTGTAGATCCACCGAAGTCCGACATCACTGGTGACTTATCCGTCGGTGTTGGAGTGTGCGATACACCCTGAGAGCGATAAATCACCAAGTCCGTATTAATCCCCAGGTTACTGCGTGGAGGTTCGGAAGCTGTTCGCTTGTTCACCATAAGAGGACGAACGTCCAAGCCAACTGAAAATGTTTGTGGTTTCGGTGGCGCAGCTGTCATCACCGTTGGTACTGACGTCACCTCTGCTTGTCTCAGCTCCTCAAGACGTTCAACAAGGCGACGAATAAAAAGAGATATATCGGTACGACTGTAACGATAGAGGCTTTTGATAAAAGTTCGATCAGCATTTGGATAATCTGCACAGATAGATCTTAGAAGACGGGCAAAATACTCGTCTAAATCGTCTGTCATACACGCGGAATTTCTTTTGTCTGGCGAATGAGAAGGATCTGTTGTAAACCCCCTTGTGGAAGTTATTGGTTTTACACACACCCCAAAGTTGCGCAAAAGAGGAGACCTCTTAGTGTAAGCAGCCTGAGATACGTTACGTTGTTTTGAAGGCGTGAGTTGTGCTGCAGCATCTCTACAGGTAGGGCGTTTACGCTTGATCTCCTCAGAAAAGTAACGGCTAAGTCTTTCCCAATAAATAGGCGGAAAGTCGGCAGGATTCACAGAGCGAGAACCAGTGTCGAGAAGGAAGTACTGGTTTACGTCCGAGTCACCAACACCAACTGAACGTGTCACTTTCGTCAATATGGGAGTCTGGCGACTGAGCGGTGCGATTTCAGCTTGAATTTGAGGCTTTCGTCGTGTAGTAATGGTATCTTCAATTATCTCTTCGTCATACTCATCGCCACCGTCGTCAATATATGCTCTTTCTTCCATCCGCTCCATAAGTTCTAGTTGCTCCAGTCGTCTTTTTTCCTCTTCCTCTTCTATCCGCTGCTGCAACTGAGCCTCGCGCTCTGCAATATTTTGCTCTCTTAACCGAAGCTCCTCCCTTTTTAAAGCTTCGTCGTAGAACTCGCTGCGAAGTCTTCGGGAAGTGCCAAAGATTAAAAACTCGTCTTGACCACTTTGAAACTTTACTGGTCCTTCAGCCGGTGAGATGACCTGGCGCGTGATTGGCTTTACATAGGCAACATTACCCTCATACACACCGTTCTGTCGATGTATTTCTGTAATAATTTCATCAGGAGTGTCCACATGTAGACTAAGACGTTGTGGACGTGGTGGTGTGCTACTGTAGGACGATGTCCGCAGCTGTTGCTGAAAATGACTATCCGTGCGATGTGAGCTGCCATCATCATCATGAATATATGAAATACATTCTTGCGCATGAACGGTTGGAGATAATGAGTTCCTAACCACAGTTGATTGTAGGAGCGAATCCATAAATTGATTTATGAGACGTCAAACGGACAAATGCTAAAATAAGGTGAGTTGCATTTTCAAAATATGGTGTACAAAGAACTCAAAAACAATTATAAAGTGGAGAATAGATGTGTATTTAGTGAATCTGCCAATAACATGCGTGAATTTTCAATCAAAATCAATTACCCATAAAAAACAGCCCTTGTGATTCAGGTATTGAATAGCAAAATGTGATGCTTTAGAGATAAAGGACAGTAAATATTTTCGTCGGCATATCAAAGGCATTGAAATGGACAATCGACAGGATGAAAAGGAGCTCTTACGAGTTGTTGGAGAATCAGCCGACTGAAAGACTAGAAAATTGGGAAACGCGGTGAAAAAAACCCAGGAGCCCAGACCTCGCTCACAGAGGTAACGACCAGCGAAAGTTTCAAGGTCAAGCCTCACACTACTTTTGCAAAATTAAACAAAATTTGTCAAGTAGTTAACAGCGCTAATTTTACCAACCATGTGCATGATTAGCATTATCCAGTATATTTTTCGAACTCGTATGTGAAATCGTTATATTAAAAAGCTTATTCAATACGCCCTAACGAAAATGCCAACGTTAGGATTACTAAACAATTAACAACTTTCACCATTAAACCCTCCAAGTGCCTTATTATACAGTCCTATCTGAATTTTCGTTCAGTGTATAGACCGACCCCGTTTATAATGTACACTTACCTATTACAGACCACCTTCCTTTACTAAAGCCACAACTAGATTAATCGGCTAACATGTACTTTCTCGTTCTCGAGTTTAAGGCAACTGTTTTTTGCAACCTGGCTTTCCAGTTGTTACACACATTGGCTACTCATACTGTGCCTTGTTGGAAGGAGACGCAAAATTCGAATGCCATACGGGTCGTGTGCACGAAACCTCTTTACGACTAGCTTGCATGTCTTAGATATGTCCCACTCCTGCTGAATGTGCCCATGCCGAAATGACCAATGGAGTGAGATTAAAAAAGACTATAATGGAGACAAATGGCTGCACTGATTGCTCCCAAAGTGCACTTATGCGGTTCATAATTCAGAATCACAGTGGTATTTGGAGAAGATTTATTTAATCCATTTGGCTTTACTGTGCGCTGTGCTTGAGTTATGCGGAGTGCGAAATAGTGCGGTATTATTTCCTTGTTCAGTAGCACCTTGAGGAGCCCTTGTTGAGATCTATGCCCATATGGGTTTCCAATCTCAGTTGCCGGCTACTAAAGCAAGGATTTTCGATTAAAACGTTTCCGGCTTTCTCCATAAGTAAATATCTTACCATGTACAAAAGCTTTTGGCCATTTTTCTTTGAGCAAGGCCTTATACAGTTGTTTCACCATTTCTTACCTTCGCATGCTGGCTTGAATTCCTCGATCGGTTCCTCAGCTAAAAGTAAAAAGTCGTAAGTATGCTGCCAAATACATTGGGAGGACCGATGTCAATATGCATTGCCATTCTTAACGATCTGCTGTCAGTACATACCTGCTCTTGACACAGGCTCCTCCTCGCATGCGGGTACGTAGCCTAAATCAAAATTACAAAAACGAATGTAAGTTCTTGACTTCATTTTGAACAACTCAAAGCTTGGTAACCTTTGATGCCCTCTTGTCAGTGCTCTTCGAATTCTATTGTAGATACACTATAGAACTCACATGACCTTGAGCCCCTGGATGCTAAAGCAAAAAAAAAATTTTACACAAGTTCCAATGGAAATAACTAAACCAATTTTTATACTTACACGAGCGTGTCATCCTTCTAGCATTGTATGGTTGTGCGCATCGCCCTAGACACATTTGCAAATGTCAATGCCAAAGTATTCCTCAAATACTGCACAAACGAAGTTAGCTACTACTTGGCCTTTGAGCATCAACGGGCAATACTTGATTTCATTCGAAAAAATTCTTTTTACGGAAAAACTCACTGCAGCAACATGAAGAACTGGGGCAACACGAAGATCCGCTGCGGCGGCACGGATCTGCAAAGAAAGTTCCGATTTTGCATCAAATTTAAAGACCTCAGTCCTCCTCATTTGTAATTGATAATCAGTTACTGAGTGTTTCGCCATTCACTTTACAACCTTTTACTATCATTTCGACTCCTTAAGGCCTTACCTGAAGGTTGTAGTTCATAATGCTCATCTTCGGAGCACACTTCTTTAGGTTTTCGTGCTAGGCAGCATGACGATTTTGAACCTGAACAAGGCATCCGAATTAATATCCACGTATATGTGGCGAGAACAGGGATGCATTGCCATAGACGAGTGAGCACTTACGAACTGGAGCAGTTTTAGTCTTCTGACAGCACGATGGAGTGCATGTTGCTGCGAGAAAAGTAAAACTCATCTAGAAAAGCGCCTACTTCCCAGAGGTCAGAGTATAAGAGTAAAGAGATCGTTGCTCTTACTTTTAGCACAGCACGATGAAGGGGCCGGTTTTTCTATGAAAGGTAGAAAGTTGATCAAAAGATAACTACAGGAAGTAAATAAATTCAAATTATCAGTCTCAGCTTTGCTCACTTGTGCACGGTTTCTGTGTACAGCAGCTAGAAGCTGAAAGGGCAAAGTGGAAATAGTTACATTTATGCTCGGATAAACAGTCACCGGTTGGTAGTTGTTTGACCTACAGCCACAGGGACTACTCCTAGGCTCTGGTGTTATCGGTCGTGAATAGGTCGCGCAACAGGGGGGCGGCGGGCAGTAGTATGGAATCGGTTGTGGCGGTGGTTGATAGCAAGCAACTATGAAGGAAGAACCAAGAGAAAGTAAGGTCATTTCCACACCTGCCTGAGTTCAAATTGCCAAGTGCGAACTTGCCTGGTGAGATTGGCATGATGCCAAAGGTAGCTAAAGTAAAAAAATTGAACCACAATTAAAGGTGGGGCATTTATGCGTAGAGGTATTTTGTGGACTCTATTAGCTGTCCATATACCCAATTTACCTGTAGGCATCGGACAACAGTATGTTGGTTGTGGTGGACAACAGATTGGCTGGGGTGGAGGACAGCAAATTGGCTGCAAATCAGTCATCGACGTCGAAACTATTTGAAATAAAAATAGCCAGCAGTCCTTCTATGTTAATGCTGTGGTCAAGAAGGAGTGGGGAAAAAATTAACGTAAAATGATAGCTTACTCGGTTGACAACTTGAACGACCTGAAACAAAAGTAGGTTATTGTTATTCGAATGGATGGTTAAACGAATGGAGTTGTATAATTTTTAATTATTCCTGACAAAAGTAGTCCAGTTGTACCAATGGATTCTAACTGCTTCAACTTACGGACTCGATAGCCCCTGTATTCCGGTGTAGGAACGGGTTCTGAAAGAATGCAGTTAACTGTAATTTTATTGCCCTTTTTCTAGTTTACGTATTTTACATGCACCAGTTGCGATTACCTGGATGAATTTCTGGGATTTCAGCTAAAATAGTAAACCATAGGAATGAGGTGATGTTTTATAAGACAAATTGTCTGCTGTAATCAAGAGATCTGGGGATACTTACGAATCGGTATATCAGGCATTTGCGCTGAAATAGTAGAGAAACTAATTAGAAGTGTTTAATAGACACCAAGGCGATGTGAGTAAGGCAACTTACGTATCTCATACATCGGCATTGGTGTGTTCTCTGCAAGAGATTTGAAGAGCATTAGTAAGAGGACAGAAAGAGGCAGATGCCGTATCCGCTAAAATTCATTGCTATTTTCCATTACCTGCAGCCACGATTTTCTCATTTTCTTCACATTTAATCACCGAAAGTTTTTGGCAAAATTCCGCAAGCAAATTCTTCTCGGACCCCGTATCCGCATGGTATGCCGGTACGCAAATTGACTCGAGTTGTCGACCTAAAGTGAAGTAAGAATTAGTCCCTCCTTTTAAGGGTGAATTGCGACTACAGGAGGCGTCCTAATGCCTTGTGCACTTACTCAGCATTGCCAATTGGCACTTCCTTTCACATTCTGAAGTAACAAGAAGTGCCAACTAATTATCTACCTATCCGCATAAAATCACAATAAGAAACCCGGTGATTGTCTTACCTTGGGCTTGAATTTGAGCCTTGTAGGCTTCCATTTCCTGTATGCAACGTTGAGTCATAGCTAAAAGACAATAAGCAATCCTGCATTCCCCATTTACTTCCAACAGGGATAGTCTTTGTAGGCATTTTAGAAAGCTCACCAATTTGCTGTCGAATCGGTGCTCCTCTTTGGTTCGCTTCCATAAGAGCTACAGCAAAAACAAGGTTTATTTGGATTTGTTTTTTTTATACTACATAAGTGGACAATTATTTTACCTTTCTCATATTGAGCGCGCCTTTTGGCCTCTCCGTCTCTTAGAACTTTTAATTTTTGACCTAAATAGATTGAGCAATGTACCAAACGCGTTCCAGAAGTGTAGGTGACCTTAACTATCCCTCTCAAATTGACTTACAGAAAAGTTGCATCAGCTCCTGCTCCTTTTGTTTTCGAGTACATTCGGCCTCTGAAAAGAAATGCTGGATGAAATCTTATAGCACAGCTCTGATGCTGCATTAACCAGTCGATTTCACGAGAAATGAATGCTACATTGAGCAGAGATCATTCCACACCCACCAGCAATCTTTCTTTTAACCTCTTCATTCCGCTTCCGCTCAGCTTCGGCCTTTCGACGAGCGGTTTCACGAGCCACTTCGTTCTCTGCTTGTTGACGTTTTTGAGCCACCTCGGCGTCGCGCTTGGCGATGAGCTGTTGCCGTCGTCTTTCCGCATCTTCTTCAGCCTCCCTCACCCTCTGTCTGTACTCCTCCATGTCCGCTATAGGTAAGACGGGCATTACTTTTAAATCTGATAAGCTTTTGTAGAACAGGCAACTGAAGTATCGAAAAGTAGACTTTATTGTGGAAAGTAGAGTAGAATGCCACGTCGAGTATGCTAATGAGTAAATGAAAAAATGATTTCGAATTACTACTCACGCTCTATGTATCGTATGTCGTACGCTGAGCCAACATTACTGGTCCCATAGCGTGGATAAGTAGCTGCAGGAAAGGAAACAGACTATTAAATGAAGTCGACTGCTCAATATTCTGGTAATGCTAAAACGAAGCTTAAGCGATAATCATTGTGCTCATTTGTCAGAGAGCGCTTTGATCTGACAAGATAAAATCACTTAAAATGAGATTAATGCCATCTTAGGTATTCATAAAAGGCTGCAACATGTACCAGAGGAAGCCAGATTGAGATTGCCAGAGCTTCCTCCGTAGACACGGCTACTCCTAACGCCGGTTCCTCCGTAAGCTCCACCACCACTGATACTTCCTGTGTATCCGCCTCCTCGGCCAGCTATTCTGCTGCCACCAACTCCATTGAACGCGTCTTCCATACCCCCGCTCATGCCAACAGCACCAGCATCATAGTTCATTCCACCCACTCCACCATTAATTGCTCCAGCACCGACGAAACCATTTATGCCTCCGACACCAAGGCCAAAGTTCCTGCTGCCAATGCTACCACTGAGTCCACCGAGAGCTCCGTTGAGTGCATTGACACTTGCACAGAGGCCGTTGATAGCTGCGATGCTGTTTAGACCTACCACCGTACTAGCCACATCGCCAGTTAGGACACCAACACCACTACTGTTGTTGTTGTTGGTGGTGCTGGTGGTGGTGGTGGTGTTGGGGTTGGGGTTGGTAATGGCGTTGTTACTGCTATTATTAGCAGTGGCGTTAAAATTTCGGTTGTCAACGTTCATTTCTTTATCAACTTTGTTGCTGTCATTGATATTAGCATCAACTCCAACACTGACAGGAGTATTAATTGCATGTCTTCTTAGTCTGCTGGGTGAGATACTTTCCTGGTCCGTATTTATGTTTGCTGACGATGCTGAAAGTCAAGAAGACAAAAGCTTTTATGAACAGTACCACTGATTATTAATAATAAATTCTAGCCTATGTCGGACACTCGTAATTACTGTAGTTATCTTCCACTACACAATCAATGGAACATCTTCGTGTTGACTAAAAATGCCCACAAAGTGCGGCCCCTTTTGACTTTATGCTTGTTATGATTACGCGCATGATTTGCAAAATAGGGTGCAAGGCGAATTAGCACCGCTTCCGACACTGCAACAGAGTAGCCGAGTAGATAGCACTTGATTTGCGACCAATTTAACCCGGTGCACGGAACTGTCATGAACAGCCACCAGTGACTGTGGAAAGAGGTGCGAGTTGGATGTAGGCCAAAGTACCGAAAACTCAAAACGCCTTTCAGTCCAACCACTTACATCCATATGGCACCATTACAACTTCTGGGACTAAAATCGGAACAATGGGTTTGTTATGTCATTATAAATCCCACGCTGTAAGGGATTGTGTTTTATCATTAAATTTACCCATTTGACTTTGGGGTTTGCAGATCTTCCTCAGGCAGCATTCTCCGCCTATTGGTATGATTATCAATTATTAAAGTATATATAACGGCAAAGTTTGAAAATGTGGTACCTTTTTCCCAGCTTTGACTTACGTGACTTGTTAAGATCTAAAACAAATCCAGGTAAAAAATTTTGATGATTCATAGTGCATTTTTAAGCTCACTGCAATCTTTGCTTGGCTATAAGGTGTACTACTGGATGCACATTAATGCTGATTTGGGATACTTCGTTGCCTTTGACCTTACTGGGGTAAAATAAGCGGCAATTTTAGGCAGTCTTGTTGTGAAGCGCATAGAGTGAACGGACAAATGTGTTAATAAAAATATGAACAAGTTTCAGAACGCACCGCCGCTGTAATACTCCATATCACAATGGGTACTACAACTACAACGCGGCGCCATGTCCATTCCGAAGCCCCTACCGCTGCAAACTAGTGGTGCAAAGTAATGAAAAAAAAACCATAATGCATCAACGCAATTTCCACACCTGCAACATTCTTTTCAATCAACTTTATCTTACCATTTAACTGGACGTTTGAATGACACGCGGCCTCTAATAAAAAAAGGGTACAATGGTGAGTGTTTTTTACATTCTTAAGCACCGAATCATGCTTTTTACAAACAAAGCTTACGCTGGCAAGTGCTCCTACGAAGTTTAGGCCAAGTAAATTTTTTCTTGCGTTGATTGGGGACCAAAACTAATGGTTGGAATAAAACATTATTTAATCAACGATTTGCTTTACTAACGGCTCGTGCCCGGAGCAAATATTTTTTTGCTTCAATGTAAAATTGGTGAACGTACCGGTGTCTGAATTTGGTGAGCTAAAATGTAGTTGAGGTACTAAATAGTGTCCACCATGGGCATCAGTATCCATGGCTGCATGTGGATGAATTGCGGATTGGGCTCTCCCATTTTGGGGTAAATTATTGAATTCTAAGGAAAAGCAAGAAACTCGGTGAGTCTATTCCGTGGAAAAAATAGTCGACAAAAGATGAGTGAAGCGTACTAGGCATTTGGTTGATGAGCTCAATGAGTTGATTTAGCTTGTCATCGTCAATTGGTCCATAAGTTGGAGCTAAAATTGCATAAATTGTTACTTTTCGCTGTGGGTTATTAGCATCAGTGTAAATAAAAGCTTTTAAAGAGTCATTACTTCACCCATAAGTTGTATTGCAAAGGCAATTAAACGAGAAATGATCAGTATCAATCTCTACATATGCATGTGTTACTTTAATAAATCAATGGAAAAAATAACTGAATTTCTAACATTTTCCAGAAGTCATTCCATTCGGGTAATCTTTTTTCGGCAACGGAGGGTAGGTTACATTTGGACGGTAATTCCTGGGTCCATTGTCTACGTAAATAAGAGCAACATTTTTTAAATTCAAAAGCTCGTATAATCATTGTTCTTGCCAATCTTTCAGCTTTCCAATCTGCTCCTAGTGACAGTATTATGCCACTCTCCATGCTCCATCATTGCGAACATAGTAAAGTGACCATTTTGTATCCATTAAAAGGGTATAAGTTTGATGAACTAGGAATACATATGGATTTGACCGCATAGTGAAAGCGTTTGCAATTACTTCAACCCCCTGCTTATAAAGATTATGATCACGTACTACCCCTAATCGCATTTCCTTGCTGGAGATTGTAGGTCTGATCCTGTGATGGCATTTCACGACAATCACGCGAAGGAGGATTCGAATAGGAAACTATAAATAATTTGAAAAAGTGTATATTCAGTATACGTGCTTCTGCTTTAGTGGCCCATTCCGTGCGGTTCTTTTACTTCACGGTTCATTCAGTCGAATCATGCTTATGGTTTGGAGGTGCAATTCCATTGTAACATGCAGGGGTCAGACTTATCAATTTGATAATGTATTATTTATGCCGTAGCATATTGGTTTGGTAGAAAATTGGGGCAAAGGTTATTTACCTGCCTTTCCTTGGTTTTCGCGAGGCAAATCAGTTGAGTAATCCCTCTCCGGCATTTCGTGGTAGTTATGACCATAAAAGGCGCTTCCTACTCCGCAGTCTGAAAAATTGGGTAGGATTGCTTTGAGGGAATTATGAAATTGTAAGGCCAAAGCAAAATTCGCCAGCTTACTTGTCTCATAGGCTGTTTGTTCCATTTCTATAGGCGCAATGACTTCGTGGTAGAATACGGAGCTCAGAGTTTGTTTATCTCCTCACCGGCATATTCTTGCCCCTTATATACACATATCGGGAGGAAGTGCAGTTGCTAAAGTACCTCGTGCCACTATATCCCTCCGTCTCATTATACCCTCATATCAAATTGGAATTGACTAATAGTCCGCTTGAGGACAATGACAATCAAGAGCTTCACATCGCAGTGCGAAAGAAAAAGTCAGGAGATTTTGGGTAATAAGTACATATTTTAGGAAAAAAAGGGTCATTATAACCTCTAGCAGCTCGTAAATTCAGATTACCATATCTGTTGACTGCCTTTGCAGCACAATTACTGGTTAGTTGTACGTAAGGCGTTTTGGCAACCGCAAAAGAAGTCAGCGGTGTGGGAAAAGTATAATTCGAACATGCTGTGCATAGATCGTGCAGCTGATAGTCTGCCAAACTTTGCTAGTGCCCACAATCACTAGCTAACATGCACACATGCAGTAGTGTTAAAGCTCAGTCAACGAACATGCAAATAAACGAGGATTTTGCCAATCAAAAGTTTCCACCGACCAGTGCCTCCTGTCGTAGTTGTGATCATTTGGGACTTTTTGCTTTACTTCACTTAAAAATGCCTATAAAATTGCTCCCCTTGTTGGTACATTGCACATGTTTTGATACCAAGAGAATGCTTACGTAGTTTTGCCCCCAATCATTCCTCAAGTCGAGACTTCACGATACTTATGCTGCTACTATTAACCATTTCAGGGGCGCAAATGCAAGAAAAAAGTGTAAGAAATCTCATTAATTAGACAGTGTAAATCGAAGTAGAGTAGAGCTTTGGAGCCATTATAACAGTTGTAGGCGTTCCTAAAAGCTATTAATAAAGTCGGTAAGGTCTTGGTCTAGTAAAACAAACGACATTTCCGACTACAAACTTCATTTAACTAACGATAAAGCTTGCCAATGCAAAATTAGCGAGATATCCTCATGCATTGCGAAACTTTAGTCCTTACACTTACGCACTGACTTAAGAGGGCGAAAAACATGGTAGGGTATCATCTCTCCGAAGCAAAGTTACCTCTTTTTGGGGCTAGGCATTAGTCAGCTGAAGTGCTTGAATGCAACTACTAATATGGTGACAAATCAAAGAGACCACTCCTAGTATTGTCACCGACCGTTTATGTACTCATCAAGGAATTGTGCGTGTAGATTGTGTAAACGGCACTGGGTCCAAATCCATCCGTGACCAATTAGGTTAAGGTGAGCCTGATGAAACAGAGTGTTCCAACAAATAATGTATCGCTGAGAGCTGCACAGGTGTGCATCTACTCAGAGAGCTTAAAGTGACTGGTCTTGGTGATTTGGAACCTAGAACTTAGTGATATTTTAGAAAGTTCCAATATGGCAGCAAAGCTTCTTCTAATGGATGGAAATCGGGATGAATGCTGACGGTAAATGAGAGCTTTTATAACACGTATTCTTGCATCCCATCTTGCCACAGTGAAAGCATCAGTGTTAAAATCCTAGAATTAATAACAAAGAACAAGTGTTTCAAACTTAGCCTCATGTAGTTTAGGTCGCTTTGATCCCCATAAAGCACCAGGATTCAGATCAAAGCAGGATTGTGTCCTATAGATTGATTGAAGTTTGGTAACAATTAATGAAATTTATTTAGTCGCCACTTGCTCTCCTTTCTCAAAACACCCTTGCGATTTGCAGTTTCGAGGTATATCAGACATTCGCTGCTTTCATCATTGACCAATTCTAAGGCATCGTTCCATCCACAACATATCAGTGAATCTTTACTGAGTTGCTATCCCATGGATCTGTTGTTTACTCCATTTTGCAAGCTTACAAATTCTACTTAAAGATCATATTGTAATGCTGATTGTGTCCTGCTAGCCCAAACTTATGGGCTCATCTAAACAGAAGTGGTTGATCCCAATTGTGCCTTTATAAATCGCCATGATGTTGATGGTATTGCTAGTTGGCTATACAGCTGTCACATTCGATGCAGTGGATGAGGACAGCACCCTCATTCAAAATAATCAGCCCTTTAGCCCCGAATGAGAAGTTCTAACTTCCTTCTTTCTCAGCATCATGTGTACAGACTGTTCGTGACCTCCATTTGAACGTCTTACACACTGACTGTAGCTGAGGCACAAAAGTACTTGCGCTACCGCTGGGTCCACATCAAGCTACATTAGTCGTTCTCATCAGTCATCCAAGTAGCCCTTTGATTGCAAGTGTACTTAGCACATAATTACATTTTATGTAGGTCAGCAGTAGTGTGCTGGAGTTTGATACTCTTCTGTTTCACTTAATAAGCGTTCAATATCAATTTCCTTACTACAGACCAAAAGTTAGCATGTAATGCTGTACTTTTGGCTATTCATCCCCTTAGTCCTAAATCTTGTAAATTAAAAATGTTTAAAACGCCTAAAATCGAAGCGCAACCATCAAGAATTGAAATTTGTTGATGATACTCAGGACTGAGTCGCTTAAGGTTCTTCTTCGAGACCTGCTTATCTTCTGCCATAGTAAGGTCTAGCGAAGGGGAAGCAGATTGTCAAGCCTTTTGAAAGCAAAGTTGTGTTGTTACCGTCCTTCCAGCAAATATTGCTTGTTTCTACAACAAACTGCTTATGACTTATTGTCTTTTGCAGCCAAAACGAAAATTGATAACGATGGATTATTAGTTACTCAATTTTCTCGAAATTCATTGAGATTTCAGACGAACTAAATTTGTGCATTTACTCTCTACTTAAGTGACAATTTTAAGACGGAACTAAAATGCGGTAGTGGCTGAGTTTTATTGTTATTCTGAGTTAAACTTTGCTATAAAAGTAATCGGACACTAACTTTGGTTTTCGGATGGGTCAGAAATGAACAAAATCCACTTCAAGGAGGTATCAACGGGATATCACGTGAAAATCAAAGCCTTTATGTTTAGAATCGCTTTCCTATGCTTCGACCTTTACTTACTCGTATAAAGTACGCTCCCTCTAAACAGAAACGGTGTACTACGATTTGATTGCAGAAAGGGCACTCAAATGAAAGCGGAACTTTGATCTCACGGTTGTGCTCAGCAATGATGTCAACTTGTTTACAGTTCTCCCAGCGGAAGCGTCAAATTGGCCTTGTTTTATAGCACTAAGTCCATAGAGTTAGTGGTGTGTCAAACAGGCCTGATCAGAAAGACTGGGATGGCGACCAAAATTTTACGGTGAACGCAGTATAGTTAGGAACCAAGTTTTTTAAAAGCATAAGCAAAGCTCTCTTCTAAAATTCACACGTATGGAAAACGTACAGTAGATGAGCTGGTCCATTTCTTAGCAGTAGGACGGTCAAGTGATTTGTGCAATGATTCATGGAGCGCAGTATCAGTTACCAGTTCTCATCACGGGGGTAAGTTCCATATACATAGTCGAAGCGAAGTCACCTGACTGGTCACCAAGTCTAGCCTATTCATAAGTATGCATTGGAGGAAGAAGTCGATACATTCGGTGAGCTCAAGTGTTCAAAATCATTGCTAATTTTGAAACTTGGATGCGTTTTTCCTGTCACAACAGTCGTTAGCTTCGATCAGTGCAAAAGATTTGACTGTTTAAAGGCAATGTGTTAACAGCATCCTCCGACTTTCTCGAAGGCTAAGGCAGGCCCCATGGTAGAGCAGAATGTATGCTGCCATAAACAGATGTGATAGGGCTTTTACCTTAATCACAGAACCATCAAACGCAAAGCCATGAACAAAAAAACTCAAAAATATACAGGGTAGTACACAGCTTAGCTACCCTCTAACCTCGGAGACTAAAACGTATTCAACTAAATAATGGTTCATCCGCAAAGCTACCACAAACTATCCTCCGTTGCACATACAACTTAAAACACCAGCTTCAGTTTCACTAACTCCTCTTCATAAATAATATAACAGCTGTAATTCCTTTTAATTCGAAAGCTGTATTAAGATATGCATGCTTTTTACCTCATGGCTTGCAAGCCGATTTATTTGGTATTGAGTAATTTATTGTGAGGCCGCAATCCAACAATGCCCGCTCATTTCCATCGAACTGAGCTCTACCCTGCAACTGACATTAACGTAGATGACTCTATCGACTCACGTTGTAACAGCATCCCAAAAGAACACTAAACCGGAATGAGTCCCAACGATAGCTGACATTTAAAACATCTTCCTTAAGGCTATTAACAAATTATCCCGTCTGTAGTATGTGTTCTCTTTCGTCGCATTAAAAATTAGCATTTAAGAATTGAAACCAAAGCAGCTATCCTCTAAGATTGTTTGTCATACGCCACCACCGGTAGAGCAGTCCACGCCATGGCTCGGTATCCATACCACCGTGCGGAGGAAAGCAACAACCTCAAGTGCCTGTCCACCCGAAGTGGGGAGTTAAATACCTAACCTACGTCAGCTATCATCCAATCTCAAAGCAATGTTTTCCTGCTATGCATTACAATCCGACGATCGCCAGACATGATCATACAAAGTGAAATGCCCACGGTTCTGCACAAATAAGAAAGTCAATTCCTGTTTTCAAATCCCAAATTAAAGCACTGGACCCCCTTGAAACTACAAAGTAATTAGCTCACACTATTCGCAGCAGATATTTGGGTTAAATAAGAGTTTCTCATTATTGGAAATTATGACCCCCCTGTGTTGCCATAGTTTGTTAACTCTATTTTTTCGGTGCTTTCCTATAATAGCAAGTTCATTCATCTTAGCTTCCCACCTGTCTCAGACACTTTAATGATTTGAAAGTTCACCACTTTTGATATGCTTTTATTTAATCGTTTATGATGTCTACCAACGCGAAGAATTTTTTGCTATACGCAGGAGACTTAGCTTTAGATAACTGAATCAACTAATCATTCATCGATATATTGCACAGCAGAACCGCATCACTTTATGGAGGCTTATCTCGCTCCGATGCAGAAGTATGTCAATCCAAAAAAACCACTTATTAAAATAACCATGCTTACCAGGGAAAGGGAGAGGAGACGATAAGGAAATGTAGGTGAGGAAAAGAGGAGGGAGTTTGTAAAAATTCGGGGTATTCATCGGAATCATTGTCAGCCGACTTTACACAGCACCCAATCAACAAGAGTTTTGCATTTGGGAGGAAGGTAATCACAGTTAGAAACTCTTAAATTTTGCGGATCTTAAATCACCAACGTAGAAAAGGGAGCCCAGTCTCTGGAAGCTTTAAGGACAAAAGGGAACTAAGTGGCATCAATTCGTTAGCTTTGGGCTTCACCCTCCTCCTCCAATGGAGAACAAATAAAGGGAATGGTGGAGTCAGAGAGTCCCGCCTTAGCTATGGATGGTACCATTGGGAGCTGAGGCGATGAGGAGATTGTTAACAAGGCGGCGGGCACCTCGATGGCATTTTGATCACCGTTGAAGTGCTGACACCAGGGCGACCTCATAGAACTCATGCCATTATTATGCTGTTGACGCTGCCGACGACGGTGGGACTGATGAGTCTCGTTACGGAGCCTAAATATCTGCCGAATCGGGAATTCCAAGAGAAAAACGAGCCCGCCAACCAGAAGCCAGAGGCCGCATAAACGCATCGACCAAACATACGAGCCGGTCAAGTCGTTCAGATAACCTGCAAAGAAATTAGCTGCTGACAATGCTTATGCCAATTCTGGACGTAGTGTTACTGTAGAATCACGGTTGATCAAATCTACAACAATATTTTAGTCGGAGTAACCTAAGCATCTATGCTATTGTCCAGGATGTAAAATACAAACATAATTACTTCATTTAAAAAGTAGGTTGTAATGTTCCAGGACTTCAGTCAAAGCAAAATAGTTCGCTGTTCAAAAGACAGTGAAATCATATTGTCAACTTCACGTCTACAGATAGTACAGTAGCATTAAATTGAGCTGACCCACCTTCGTTGGATGGTAATGCTTCGCATGATCAAGTCATTAATAATAGGCTAGCAGCCAGAAAATTAACGGTAAAAAAATAAAGTTGCCGCAATACTTCGTTCGCTCGGCTTTCAGCATCGGCGGCGACGAACTTTAGTCGCCGTATCTTTGCTGCCAGATCCAATTTCGCTTTTTTTGTCTGAATGAATGTTTTCAACCAAGCATTATCCTCTCTAATATCTAATAGAAAGTATCGGGACGCCACTGCCAACTATTCGTTCAATGCCAAATCACAATTTGGTTGCAAATGCTAAATAGTTGAAGTCAACTAATTAGTCAATATTTTGCCTTACTTTAGCGCAAATTTACAAATCCAGCTGAAACGATAAGAACACATTAGGACTAGCGATGGCAACAGATTGGAGTATTAGCAAACAGAGAGGACTTGAAATTACTTTCAAAGCGATCGCCAAAGAATAAATTACCTGGATCACACATCTCATTGTCAAGATGTGGCGAAGGGCTTCAATAGGACCCTTCCATCTACGTTTATAAAGTTGCTGGACCAATAGTAGTAGGCACCAGAGCCTCCAAGAAAATTTGCCCTATAACACGATTGCCATATCTTTCTCATGGTTTTAAGCCTAAGCAATCTATTACGACCCAACCCTGAACTTAGTGAAACATAATGAAAAAGAAGTCAAATTATGTTTACGCATTGCAAACGCAAAGATGGTGGTGAACCTTTCGAGGTACTTCTCAACCTCGATAAATGAAATTCTGCTCAGTTAAATGTCAAATTTTTGCAAGCCATAAATAGTGTAGCAATGAAATCGAACAGAGAAATTTGCTCCGTAAGTTTGATTAATTTCATCACTGATTCACCGCAGTAGATAAAATGCGGAAGACAAGCACGGCTTATGGAGTAATAAAACCGCTAACGTTGAATTTGAATTTCGCAAGAAGCATTCGCGCCAAATTGAGACTTCAATTCTTGAAAAGACTAACATTTTGGTGGCATTGAACGAGCACCAGACTTTCAAATTCAGATATGCCGAGGAATATTTGCATAAACTTCTCCCACGGACCAATTTTTTCCAACGGTAGACAGAAATCTCATGCACTGACCGTATTGTCTACAGAATTGACGCCATATTCTGATCTGGTAACTGAATCTCCACAAATAAGCCCATCGATCGTACATGCACAGACGGATAACTTTAAACCGCTCATGAGTTGACCATCGTTTCACTGCATTGTACTGTTCTTCAGATCTTCTGCATAGACAAGTCGTATATAGAGTTTGTTATCTTTTCCCGCAAGAAATTATCCCAACACACCCTGTGTACCTCATTAACCCATCGTTCACCATTGTAGCCTGTCATCTTGAATGGTTTTGACTGAAGCGGACTGATCCAAACACGACATATGCGTTGAGTGACAGTGTGGGCCTGGAAAAAAACAGAACACACCAGGAGATTGTCACAGGATGTAGTGAGTGAAGTCTTATTACGCGCAGCTATAAAGTAAAAGGTCCGAGTATGATTACGAGTTTCTTGTGACGCGAAAATCTAAGCTTAGTTGAAAGTAAGAATTAGAGTTCCAGGAACGCACCGATGACAGCCTGAGCAGGTACGTACAAGAGACCGAGATTGACCATCATGATGGCGAGAGATTTTGCTAAGCGTTCCGGACCTACCCAGTCGGAGAGAACAATTATCATTTGAGTCATTGCGGTCCCGCTGCATACTCCTTGCAGTGCGAAGCAGACATAATAAGCGGCCGTTTGCGCAATTGTAGGGGAGCTCTCGGGAAGTCGCTGTAACAGAAAATAGTCTTTCATTTTAGAATAAATCTCATTTCCACTAATGCTGTGAGTGTTTAATCATCATCCTCGCTTCTAGATCCATCTCACAAATAGCAAATGCGTGAAGCTGGTGAGTGATGGCAATGATGCCATATAAGGAAGTATTTGCTTTGACCATACATCCCTTTTTAGTTCAAACTACTACAGGAAAGAAATAGGTTTTTGGTTGAGGAACTTAAAAACGAAAGAACACCAAAGTATTACCCTAAGAAATTGCCATTTGTCTTGACTCGAATGACGGCTATGGCGCCGTGACGATTGCACAAGCCACGAAGGTCTGTATAAACACCAGGTCAATTCGGAAGTGGAGTGGCACCTGATGATGTAAATAATCAGTTCAAGTGAAGATCGACCTTGGCAACAAGGTAAGACAAATGAGTGTAGCCGTGATGCTGCAAACGTCACTCGGTTCAGAAAAATAAAACCATGCCCCGTGGTTCAAGCAAAACTTTGCTTGAAAGTTAAACTCCAAATTCCAATAACAAGTCCACTTTGGATAGGCATTATGGAGCATCGGAAAACTGTACAAACGAATTGTACCACACAAAAGGGTTTAAAATCACATTTAACAGCGTGAATTCTCCCACAATTCGGCTATCGTATCGATGACTTGATGCTACGATCTGTCGAATTAACCAATGGTCTCTGAATCACTTTCCAATCCAATCCAAAAGCAGCAAATCCAAATCCAAATCCAAAGAAGCAAATGGTCAGTACTCAGCTTAGCTAACCGACAATGGCACTTCCAAGTGATATTTTCCCCAAATAAACCCACTTACACCTCCTTAAATAAATACACAAATGAGAGAAATGTACCCAAAGATACACAATTTGATCCTTATTTGATTTGGCATTGTTTATCAGAATGTGATCAATCCGTTGCTTAAGGTTTCAAAACGCTATTATTGCCAGCATTAACAAGCCATAATTAGGCAAACTGATGGTAAAGAAATAGCAAAGTTCGTTTATTTACGAGTCAATCAGAATGTGTCCTATGCATGCAAAGAGAGATGATGCAGTAAAAGGGACTTCATCCTGCAGTATTCATTTTTCATAGCACATCTAGAAATATCGCACACTACATACCTTTGCTCCCATTCTATTGTCAACTCCTTGTCCATCCTTACACAACTTATTCATCTTCAGGGCGACAATTCCGCCTCCAATTAAAAGGACTTACGATTTAAAAGACACTAGAGTGCCTTTGCCTGAAGCTACACAGCATCTTGAAGAAAGGGAATGCTGGGGCGACAGGATTTCGAGTATGCTTCGCTATTGCCCACTACCACTTGGCATTAACGCGGAAATACTAGCTTTCAGTAGAGTATAGCATG